GGAGGTACGGCGGGGGTGGGGATGGGGAGGAGTACCTGCTGCTGAATACTTCCTGGTAGAGGTCCAGGGGGTACGTGTCCCCCAGATATGTGTGCCTCCACCCAGAGGTGGAGGCAGCTGCTGCTGCAGGCTGGACTCTGCACCCCACTGCCCCAAAAGCCACGCGACACCATATGTCTGCTGTGGCTGGGCAGGCAGGGGATAGACACGCGCACACACACACACACCAGCATGTAAGTGTATGTGGGGAGGAAGGGGCGGGGTGGGGGAGAGGTAAGGGGCTAAGGGGTGCAGATCAAGAGTAGGGGGACAGTGTGTCTCTGTACCTGCTCCCAGGAGCAGGGCTGAGGTGGGAGCGAGGGCAGTGGTACCTCTCCGCAGGCCATACATGCCGGGGCTGCCTCTCTGGTTCTCCGTGCCACTTTCCTGTGGCCAGTCTAAGTTTTTAAGTTCCCCTGGTGGGTACGCATACACCCCTGGTTAACAGCCTCTACAGTAGTACATCAGTAATACAAATGGGTGTGTTAGTCAGTGTTAACCAATATGAGAAGCTAGACACAAATTTTAAAACCCAACACTGGTAAAATTGTTGGGTTTTTTTTATACAATAAATGGAATTTGCACGAACATTTTAATTTTACAACAGAAGCATTTAAAGTAGTTGGAAGACTTGGATATCCTGTGTTCTCTGACCAGATGCAAAGCCAAAGTGACTCTGTTTTCTTTAAGCACTTTAAGCATATAAATCAAGCTATTCTGTGCAGATACCCAGGTTTTTCCAATAACCCTTTTCATATGAAGACATTTCCCACTCACTTCCTTTACTAATTAGCTCATCTTCTTCCAAACCCAGTACAATAGTTCAAGCACAGGAGTTATACTAACTTTCAAATAGCTCTGTTCTTACTGCTTACCAGACAGGGAACAATGCCTCCCCCATCTTACAGAGCTGTTTAGCTGCTAAGAACTAGGGCATTTATCTTTCATTTTCCTACTGGAATCAGTGCATTTCAAATCCATGGTGTTCCCAGACAATACTTTTAGCCTTTTATAATCAGGCTAGGTAACAGTTATGAGGAAAGTTTTTTCTTATATGCAACATTGATAATGGACAGGTGTAGTAAAAAGGCTCCACTATGTAATGCTTCTCCATTCATAGCGGTTTTGCTCAGCAAAAACTCACTAACATGCGCTAATACAGGACCTTGTACTCCATATAGATTCATAGATGTTAGGGTTGGAACGGACCTCAATAGATCATCGAGTCCGACCCCCTGCATAGGCAGGAAAGAGGGCTGGGTTAGATGACCCCTTCTAGATGCCTATCTAACCTCCTCTTGAAGACCCCCAGGGTAGGGGAGAGCACCACCTCCCTTGGGAGCCCATTCCAGACCTTGGCCACTCTAACTGTGAAGAAGTTCTTCCTAATGTCTAGTCTAAATCTGCTCTCTGCTAGCTTGTGGCCATTATTTCTTATAACCCCCAGGGGCGCCTTCGTGAGTAAAGCCTCACCAATTCCCTTCTGTGCCCCCGTGATGAACTTACAGGCAGCCACAAGGTCGCCTCTCAACCTTCTCTTGCGGAGGCTGAAGAGGTCCAGGTGCCCTAGTCTCTCCTCATAGGGCTTGGCCTGCAAGCCCTTAACCAGATGAGCGGCCCTTCTCTGGACCCTCTCCAGGTTATCCGCATC